TGTTTGACTTTTTATTTCTAGATTATCTTATTATTAATTTACTTTACGATATATTCGTTTCTTTTGGGTCTGCGTCATACTGCTTATTTTTCTGTAAATTTTTTTCTTTAGTGAAGCCAATAGTGGTAAAAGCCAAGGCATTACGTCTTTGTCGGGAAGATTTTGAGGTTTTGAAAGTCATAGGGCGTGGTGCCTTTGGCGAAGTCGCTGTAGTTCGAATGCGTAATACTGAACGGGTATTGTTTTTTTTTAATGCTCTTCTGTGTGATTTTTAAAGATATTCATTTCATATAGTGATAGTAGGAATATTAATTGATTATTTCATTTGAACACCAGTTTTGTAATAATAACAGTGACGAGAGTAGTAGTAGCAGTAGTAATAATGATAACAACAATTTTATTCGTAATTTGTAAGGGTAGCATATTTAGTTTGCATTTTTTCGATTTAGGTTTATGCCATGAAAATATTGAACAAATGGGAAATGTTGAAAAGGGCCGAAACAGCATGTTTTAAAGAAGAACGAGACGTTCTTGTTTACGGTGACCGAAGGTGGATTACTAATTTGCATTACGCATTCCAAGATGAGCGTAATTTAGTAAGTTCTTGGCTCTTGATTTTTCTTAGAAGTATTGTGGTTAAAAGTAAGTGCATTTTGTCAGACCTCAGAAAGTTTTTCATGATGGTACAAAGGTAAGATGGTATTTTACCATCATTCTCTTTAATTCTGCTTTACAGTCAAGAATTGTACATTGAATCTTTGTTCTTCAAAAGGGTAGTGTAGTTACTGTTTGAAGAGTATTTCACATTTCATGGTTTTTGAAAGGCTGATATAAATTTGTTGTGTAGCAGTTTCAGGAAGTTAAATTAACTACTAATCTAGTTTTGTTAAAAGACATTTTTTTCAGTATCTGATTATGGATTACTATGTTGGTGGGGACCTCTTAACTTTGTTGTCAAAGTTTGAAGTTCGAATTCCTGAAGATATGGCGAGGTTTTATGTTGCTGAGATGGTTCTTGCCATTGACTCTGTTCATCGCCTTGGTTATGTGCATCGGTGATCATTTTTAGCAAGTTTATCACCGTTTTGTTATTTGTTTTATACCAATTAGAGAAGAGTGAAACTGAAAGATTTCTACTTTCTTCGGAATGCACTGAAGTAAAGCGGAACTAATGAGCCGGAGTGGTTAATTAACTTGAGTTTCAGGGATATAAAGCCCGATAATGTTTTACTTGATATCAATGGTCATATTCGGCTGGCAGACTTTGGTAGTTGCCTGAAGTTACTTCCCGACGGCACTGTTCATTCGAATGTTGCCGTAGGTACTCCTGACTATATATCACCAGAAATTTTAAGGGTAAAAATTTATTATCTTATTTTTTTTTCACCGATCTTTATGCGAGTGATTATAAGAGGTTTAGGCTATGGAAGATGGACGAGGTAGATATGGTGCAGAATGTGACTGGTGGTCTTTAGGTATATGCATGTATGAAATGCTCTACGGTTTAGCTCCTTTTTACGCAGAAAGCTTGGTGGAGACCTACGGAAAAATCATGAGTCATCAGGTCGGTTTCATTTGTTTGTGTTTTCATATTTCATTCTTCCAAAACTTTTGTGTTTAAAGGTTACTATTAAATTAGTAGGTTAATTTATTTTTTGGATTTTGTAACACTGCAGTTCTTGAACTTTTTGACAACTTTTTTTAATTTTTTATAGGAAATGTTGGACTTTCCTGATGATATCGATGTTTCTGATGAAGCGAAAGATCTTATGAAGAGGCTGATTTGTCCTCGAGAAACTAGACTTGGTCAGAACGGTTTTACAGATTTCGCGTCACACCCATACTTTTCATGTATTGACTGGGACAAGATTCGCGAAAGTTGGTTTTTATCTTTTACTTTAATGTATTTTTCAAAATTTATCTCGCACTTTTATTGCTTGTAGTGGATGCACCGTACAAACCGGAAGTTTCGAGCCCTACTGACACTTCGAATTTTGACATTGAAGCTTGCTCGCCGGATTTTACGCCTTGTGTAGGGTTTGAAAACTTTTTCAGTTAATTTACTTTTTTGGTGCTGGACGTTTACTTTGCCTAAATTCCTTTTTTCTACAGGACACGAAACCTCCCAACGTAACAGCGCCGTTTACAGGACACCATCTTCCCTTCATTGGTTTTACCTACACCCATGACAGGTGGGCCTAATTTGAATAGTTTTGCCAAACTGTTTGAGACTTTATACAGAGCTAATTTTTTTCCTTTTGGTAAAGAACCTTTAAAGGATGTTACAACACACTTTTTTTACTTTTCTTTACCATGTTCAAGGACGTCATTACAAGCAGGAAATTAAGCGGAAATTTGTTGAGGAAAAACAATACCCGTTTAATATTTTTACGTTTCTTATTGATCTTTTATCATTTTAGCTTACTTTCTGACTGCAAAAACTTGTTACCAGTCAGCAGTGAAGTGAAAAGCGAAGATGCATCGTATAATGAACTAAATGCAAAAATTCAGCGGTTGGAGCAAGAAAAAAATGAGATTGCTGAGAAGCTTCGAGGTATGAAATTAGAAGTACATTTACAACAACTTTCAGCCATACTGTTTTTTACTGTTTTAGTTATTTGAGAGCGACCAGATTCTCGGTCTTTCAAATATATCACTTATAGTATTTGAACTTTTATGCAAAATTCATTGTTGGAGCAAAAGACTTATCAGTAAAAATTTTTTAGAAGCGAACTTACTGGTTCAAGCAAAGAATGTTGGGAATTCTGCTGGCGAAGAAAATGTTGTTGATGTTACTGCATATGAACAGACTATCGCTCAGTTGAAAGATGAAATTCAGGTTAGGATTTTTTTCTCTAGAAATAGGATTTAGATATAGTCTTGGAGCTTTCGTTTATTTACTGTGGTCATTTTTATTAAAAGCGCTGTAAGTTCCTGGAGAATATTTAACGAATTCATTGTTCAGATACTGAAGAAACGCCTGGCTGAAGAAAGTAGCGCTTCCCAGCGACCAGCGAAGGAAATCAGCCAGGAGGAACTAGAAAAGAAACTGAAGGAATTAAAAGAGAAAAATCGGCAGTTAATTTTAGAGAAACAGGAACTCCAGAGGGTAAACGTTTTTAAAATTAGTTTTGCTTAACTTACGATGTTTATATGAATCTTTGAAGGACTTATCTTTTGTAAGTTTTTGGCAGAAAACTCGTTGCGTCGTCCTCTGTTTATTACATTTGTGTTAGGGGCTTCTTAAGATTAGATTATCATTTCTGTCTGGAAAAACACTTCACTTAGCAGGCGCTTTGTAGCTTTCTAGTTATTAGATTTTCTCATATTTTCCTTCAGGACAGGATAAGTTATTGTTCAGAAGTAATTTTGAATTCGTTATCGTTTGAGTTTTTAAGGCAATTTATTTACTGAGATGCTGAAAGAAGCATTGTTTGGTTTTGTTGCTGTCCCTCACTTTAATTTACCAGTTGCTTACTTGAGCTGTATTTGGCCATTCTCGTTTTTTTTTTTTTTTTTTTTTTTTTTTTTTTT